TTTAGTTGTTATTAATTTAGCTAATGGATTATCTATTTTATTTTCTCAAAGAACCAGTTTTCTGTTTGCTTAAGTATTTTTTTTATTCTTCTAATTCTCTATATCATATACTTCTCTCTGATAGTATTTCCTTTTTTTAGTAATGTTTGGAATTTTTTATTGGTGTTGTTATTGCTTTTCCAGTTTCTTGAGATGCTTTGCTAGATCGTTTACCATTTTTCCATTTTTCTCTTGTTAGCAATACTTGCTATAAACCTGCCTCTTAGAACTGCATTTACTGTGTCCCATAGATCCTGGTGTGTTTTGGCTCAGCTGTCATTTGTCTCAGAACTTTTTAAATTTCAGCCTTTTTATTTATTTACTTATTTTTATGTTTTTTTTTTCCCAGAGATTGCAGACACTCACTAGAGAGAGACAGAAAGAGAAAAGCTAAGAAATTATGCCACAATTTCTCCTCCTCCATTCTCCTCTTGAGGTAGATTTTGGGCACATACACTCACATGTCTGGTGTGGTTTTCAGGCTGTTGGGTATGGGACTCAAACCATGTTTGGCCATGTGGGAATCCAGTACCTTAACCACTATAGCACTGGCTAGCCCCTTAAATGAAATTCTGAGGTAGTTTGGAAGTCACTTAGGAGTAGGTTTAGTTTTCATGTATATTTTCTCAGGGTCTTTTTGTTATTGATTTCAAGCTTAATTTTATTGTTATGAGAAAATGGTAGCTATAGCTTCTATACTTTTATATTTGTAAAGACTTGTTTTATCTCCTTGTATGTGGTCAGTCTTTGAAAATGATCCATGAAAGGTACAGGCAGATTGTGCAAGGATTACATCACTGGAGTCTCACATAGTTGACCATGGTTTGAATCCCAGACCTGGTGGCTTAAAACTTATACCAGAAACGTATTCATGTAAGCCTAAGATCCCAGGAGTTCTGAGAATGGAGGAGAAAGGATTGCAGCATGGCCATTCCCCTGAGGGGTAATTTCTTACTTTCTGTCAGTCTTTCTCTGTCTCCCTAGTGAGAACACATGCCCTACAGCAAAAGTGTCTGTTAAAGATAGAAAAGAAAATGTTCCGTAAGAAAGAAAAAAAAAAGTATATTTAGTAGTCATTGGTGGCATTCAGTCATTGAAATGATGTTCTATAAATGTCTGTCAGGTCTGTTTTCTTCATGGTATCATTTAGCTTCTGTTTTTCTTTCTTATTTCTGTTTAGATGACTTTTCAGGTGATGATAGTGGGATGCTGGAATCTCTAATTAGTGTGTTGCAGTTTATTTCTCTCTTTAGTTCAAGCAGCCTTTCATTTATGTATTTGAGTGCTCTCATTTTAGATGCTCAGATGGTTAGAATTGTTATGTCTTCTTGGTGAATTGATACCTTTAGTACTAACTAGTGTCCTTTTTGGGCTCTTTTTACAGTATTTACCCTAAAGTCTATTTTACCTGATATCAGTATTATGATTCAGTCTTTATTTTTATATGCATTTCTTTGTATGAATTATTTTTGTCCAGCCCTTTACTCTCATTTTATGTATCTCCTTATCAGTGAACTGTGTTTCTTAAAGGCTCTTATTTTTTAATCTATTCATCCAGTCTATGTTATTTTTTTAAAATAATTACTTTATGTATATATTTACTTTTTCTTGAATTTTATTAGAGAGGACAGAGCAATTAGGGGGGAGAGAGAGAGAGAAGTGAAAAATAGTTTTAGGAGAATTGGATTTAGTTTTTCATTAAAACTTTTGTACAAAGGAATGTGGTGTTATCTGTTGAACATAATTTTATAGTTTATCAACTGACTAGGGAGAAATGTTCACATGTTGGAATATTCACTTTGTAAGCTAAATAATGTGATTGACTGTATAAAAGAAAATGAAATAAAAATGTTAAAAGGTAACTTTCATAAAATATATAAATTTTAAAATTATATATTGAAGTAAAGTGTGATATTGTTGGATATGAATTGTGAAAATATTTGTTAAACTGTGATTCTTTTTTCTAAAATACAAAAAATAAATATTACAATAATTTCAAAAGAAAGTTTTGTACAAGTAACAAGTAAAACCATCAGGACCTGTTAATCTTTTTGTTGGGAGATTATTTATTACTGATTTAATCTCATTGCTTGTTATGGGCCTATTCAGGCTTTCTGTGAAAGTAAGTCATACATTTCCAAAAATGTGTACATCTTGTCCGGGTTTTATTGTTTTTTGGTGTATAATGGCTTATAATATTCTCTGATGATTCTTCATATTTCTGTTATTTCTATTGTAATAGCACCTGTTTGTTGATGACTTTCTTTTTCTGATTTTTTTCTCTTTTCTTCTTGATTAATTTAGCTGACAGTGTGCCAATTATCTTCTCAAAAAACCAGTTTTATTTTAGTTTTATTTTCTGTAGACTTTTTTTTTGTTTTCTATTTTATTTATTTCTGCTCAAATTTTTACTATTTCTTTTCTCCTGGAATTTTTTTGTGTTTCTTTGTTCTTTCTCCATTTCCCTGAGTTTGTTTTGTTAGGTTATTTGCCACCTTTCTGCTTTTTTCTTGTGGGCGCTAATTGCTATAAACTTCTTTCTTATGACTATTTTTGCTGTTTCATAGGTTATAGCTACTTGTTTGTTTGTTCCTTTTCATTGTTTCTATGAACCTTTTGATTCCAGACTTAATTTCTTTAGTAGTTGTGAAGTCATTTGAGAGTAGGTTGTTTAGTTTCTATGTGTTTGTGTGTTTTCAAAGGTTCTTTCTGTAGTTGATTTCAAGTTTAATTTTATTGTTTCCAGAAAAGATACTGGATATAGTTTGTATACATTTAAATTGTAAAGTCTTGTTTTGTGCCCTATCACATGGTCCATCTTTGAAAATGTTCCATGTAGGAGAGATAAAAATATATATTTTGTGGTTATTGGGTAAAATATTCTGTATATGTCTGCCAAGTCCATTTCATTTATGTTATCATTTAGATCTTGTAGGTTTTATTTATTTTTTGTTTAGATTATCTGTTCAGAGGAGATAGTGGGGTGTTGAGATCCCCTTGCAATTATTGTGTCGCAGTCTAGCTCTCCCTCAATATCCAAAATTCTTTCACATATTGAATACATAGATACTAAAAAGTGTTAAGTCTTCTAGAGGAACAAGTTATTTTTGTACTAAATAAAGTCTCTTGTTTCTTTTTACATCTTTCTTTTTGAAGATTATTTTATCTGATATCAGTATCACAACTCCAACATTTTCTGTTTTCCATTTGAGTGGAATTTCTTTCAAGTCTTTCACTTTTACTCTATGTATGTCTTTATTAGTGAAGTGTGTTTCTTTCTTTTTCTTTTTTTTTTTTTTTGGAGAGGTTTTTGTTTTGTTTTGTTCTGTTTTGTTTTCTGCTATAGGGCGCATGTGCTCGCCAGACAGACAGAGAGACAGAAAGTGAGAAATCACCCCCCAGGGGGGATGGTCACGCCGCAATCCCTTCTCCTCCATTCTCCTCTCGGGATCTTGAGCATGCACGCACACGCGCCCGGCGTGAGTTTTAAGCCACCAGGTCTGGGATACAAACTGCGGTCAACTATATGGGAGTCTAGCGACATAGCCATTACGCTAACTGCTGGTCCCGTGAAGTGTGTTTCTTGTAAGCATCATGTAAACAGCTTTTGTTTTTTAATTCATTCAGTCTGTGTCTTTTATTTGGATAATTTAATCCATTAATATTCAATATTATTATCATTATTTGCAGACTTAGCCCTGCCATTTTTAGCCATTTTTTGTTACAATCCCCCCCCCTTTTTTTCTGTTCATCTCTCTTTAGTTTTCTTTGTATACTATTCTCTGCAGTACTTTTTGAAGAGCTAGTCTAATGTTGGTGAATTGCTTCAGTTTCTGTTTATCTGAGAATAATGTCATGGAGTCTACAATTTCCCATATGTTATACCCCTTAATTTTTTTGTGTGTAATTTTTGGTAGTTTGGTATATGTTGAAGAATTTGTGTTCAAGGTAAAAAATTATTTCCTCTGCGTGGTTTAGTCTGCTATTAATGCTTCATACACAGATTTTAATTTCTTGTATTGATTATTCATTTTGAGGTTCTGTTTGTTTCTTATTTAGGTTATCTATCTTTTATGTAATTCTTCCTTCATGTCCTGGAATGACTTTATCACTTCTGGGAATTGTCTGTATTCTCTTACATCTGATTGAGTTTTGTCACTATGAATGTTCAAAAATTTTTTTGACATTTCTGTGAATATCTTTGTACTGTACATTATTGATGAGGGGTTAGTGGCAAAGAGTTTACCCCTCATTTTCTTTTTTTTGAAAGAGTTTACCCCTCATTTTCTAATGTCTTCAAGCTCTGCACTGGTTTTTGGTCATCTATTAAAGAATTTACTTTATTCTACTTATTGAAGTAGATCCTGTAGTATTGGAAGAGGAAATTTTAACCTTGGTTTCCAGATGTTTTCCTATTACAGGGCTGTTTCTTGCAAATCAGAGCTGATTATACTTATACAGGTAACATCAGTTGGTTGACTCTTTTGTCAAATTTTTAGTGCTTGATATGGTGGGAACAAGCTAAGGAAACATGACCTAGTGGAGAGGATTGAATCACATGCTGTACACAGCACAGTGCACAGGTTGGAGTGCCACAAGTTCAAATAACCTGGGAAGGTGGGGGTGCATTCCGCAAAAGAGGTCTGCTGAGATTAGGCCCGAGTCTCCTATTGGGTAGTTGGAGCCCAGACAGTGGGGAGCCCAGACAGTCGGGAGTCTTCATTCATTCATTCTTTTTTTTTTTTTTTTTGGAGAGGTTTTTTGCTATAGAGTTCATGCACTTGCCAGAAAGACAGAGAAAGACAGAAAGAGAGAAATAATCGCCACACCACAATCCCTTCTCCTCCATTCTCCTCTCAGGATCTTAGGCACACATGCACACATGCCTGGCATGAGTTTAAGCCACTGAGTCCAGGACTTGAACAGTGGTCAGTTACATGGGATTCAGTGACATAGCCATTATGCCAACTGCTAGTTCCAACTTTCCCTTCATTCTAATTTCAGTTTCTTTTGCTGTGAAAAAGCTCTTTAGCCTGATGTATTCACACTTGTCTAATTTGGGATTATTGCCAGTTCTTTGGAGATCTTATTTTTAAAATTTTCACCTACTTTGATGTCTCCAAAAGTTTCCTCTGTTTTCCACCAATACTTTTATAGTTTGAGCTAACCAATCCTTGACCAAGGCCACAAGTCATCCCAGTGGGGAAAAGAAAAGTTCTTACATGGTGCTAGAGGATATTTTTATTCCTATAAGAACTGACTTTGTGTAAGCTAACTAGATCCCGCACATTACCTATTGAAAGTTGTGCAATGCCCAGTGTTTTTGTTTTAATCATTATAAGACAGGAGTGGTGAATTAACATTTTATTTACTTTTAAACATTTTTTTCTCATTCATTGCTGATTTTCCTTTATAATGAGAAATTTTATTCACCAATGGATTACTATAACAATATCAGTGTTAAGTTGGCTAGTTTATTTTTGTTTTGAAAAAGTTTAAACCTATCACACTTTAAGTCCTTTGACCTACAAAATTTTTATCAAAAATGTGGAGAAAACATAAGCATTTAAGTTAGAATTGTTAGTGTGTTGACTATACAACTCAAAGCTACGAATATAGATTGCTTTACAGATGTTGTTTACTAAACTTTATGGTATAAAGCGTACGTTATAAAATTTGGACCTCAGAATAAAATGGGAAACTCTCTCACAAATTTTATTCCAACTTTGTAAATCTTGAGTAATACAGGTAGTGTTGTTTTCTATGAAGATAGACAAAGAAATCAGTGGAATAAGATATAATGTTTAGAAATAGAACTGTAAAACCTATTCACAAAAGTAAAAGGTAAAATTAGAGGATCAGAAAAATTTTTTGTTTGTTTCTAGAGATTTTTGCTATAAAGGCACATGTGCTCATCTGTGAGATAGAAAGAGACAGAAACACAGAAAGTGAGAAATCACCTCCTAGGTGCAATGGCCATACGCAATCCCTTCTTCTCCATTTTGCTCTTGGAGTTTTAGGTATGCACATGTTTCAAGCCATTGAGTTACGGACTCAAAACCCAGTCAACCACGTGGAAATATAGTGCCTTAAACAGTACACCACCTGCTGGCCCCAAGAAAACTATAAGAATTATCTGAACACATCCCAGGATTTTCTTGGAATCTACACAACTTCATCTGCCTGGTGCTCCCTAATCCCTGGGCTCAACTAATCTACTTGGGCACTTGGGCCTGGTTTTGGCAGGCCTCTTCTGCTGTGTATACACACACATCTCCTGAGGCTACTTTGGTACTTGTAGCACTCTATCTGCTTGGTGCTCCCAGATGCTTAAGCTGAACCCACTCATTCAGAAACTTGGGACTAGTTTTGTAGGGCTCTTCTCATCAGCGCACCCACCTCCTGATATTATTTGGATATACATTGTATTCGTACTGGGAAAAAACATTTTCTATATTGTATAGATGTACTCTGATTAAATACAATATATGTATTTTTTTACTAAACCATTTTATTTGTAAAATGATACAATAGTGCAAGAAAGTATATAAAAAGTCTGAAATGAATATGTTTTGGAGAAAAATTCTGCAAAGTGATTAAAAAACTGGAAATTTAGTTCTATTGAAATATTTCTGAGCACAGGGAAAATAAATGCCTGCATGTGTTTTCTAAACCTAAGTAGAAAAAAGATGACGTTTGGGCAACACCTCATTGTAGAAGGGCTTATAAAGTTGAGTTTAAGCATGGTGAATGTAGTGAGTAATTGCACACCATTTTTTTTAAAGGGATTTATCATAGGGCCCATGAACTCATAAGAGAGAGAAAAAATGAGAAGTCATCTACCCATGAGGGATGGACATACCACAATCCCTCATCCTCCAGGCTCCTCTCAGGATTTGGGGCATACATACACACATGGCTTGCACAATTTTTAAGCTGTTGTGTCCAGGACTTGAAATGCAATTGGTTATGTATAGTGATAGTCCCTTAATCACTACACCACCTGTGGCCCCAAACACTGTTTGTTTCAATATTGCTAAGAAAGTACATTATTTTGACTAGTGAGCACTGTATTCATGCTGGAAAAAAAAAAAAAACATGCTGTACAATATAAAGATGTAGAGTGATTTAGTGTAAATTTAAACAAATATTTCTTCCTAAAAAAGTATAATTTCTAATGTTGTTATTATAGAAAATAAGAAATATTTGAGGGGATGTCCATGTAATATACCTTAATTTAATTAATCCACATTATATTTAAAAAATTCTAGAATACTTTTATTTTATAAATATACATACCTATAATTTACCAATATATAATTTTTAAGAGATCTTTGCTTTAGGGCATATGCAGTCATTAGAGAGAGAGACAGAGATAGTGAGAGATCACTCCCCTAGGGTAAATGGCCATATTGCAAAACCTCTCCTCCATTCTCCTCCAGGATCATGGACATGCACACACAAGCCTGACATAAATTTTATGTCACTGGGTCTGGGACTCAAACTGTGGTCATCATGTGAGAGTCCAACAATGTAATTGCTATGCCATCTGCTGCCCCCCATGCAAATGATTTTTTAATGTGCTCTTTATTCATATAATGAACAAAACATTCTTTGTTGTCTTCATAAATGAATAATCCTCCATTAAAATGAACCTTGTTCAGGTGACAGCATTATCACCCAGCTAAATGAGACCTTATCCCACTCACAATTATTGAAAATCTCTCTTAGTTGCTTGGATACAATTTCCTTAAACAGAAGAAAAAAATCATTTCGAAGTTTTCCAGAGCTCTGGAAACATTATTTCCTACAGCTCCATATACAATTGTAAGAATATCTCTGCATGGGAGCCAAAGTCTAAATTGTGTGTCTCTTGCCTTGGTTAAGGAATTTACCATGAATCACATGATTTGACCATATTTACAACTGTACCCCTGTTTAGGAGGAATTGGAAACACTTTCAAAATGTGTTGGCCTTTCTCTTTGCCATTGAGGAGATCAACAAGAGCTCCCATTTGCTTCCCAACCTTTCCCTGGGTTATTATCTCTACAATGCACTTCCCAATAACCAAAGAACCATAGAGAATACTCTATTTTTGCTCTCTGGAATGAATCAAACTCTGCCTAACTACAACTGCCAGGCACAGAAACAATCTATTGCTATAATCACAGGATGTACACCAATATTTTCAGCCCAAATTGGAACCCTTTTGGAGCTCTACAAAAGCCCACAGGTGAGTAGTTGTTAATTCTGGAGAATAATGTTTTTTGGTCCCTCCTAATGCAATTCTCTCACATGTGAGCAAAGATGTGTAAGCAGGGTTTTCATATCACTTGAGAGTTGAAAACAGACCACAGGAAATTCCCTAGGTCATGAGATTATTAATAGTGCACAGGTAGGTCTCTCAGTGGCATCTGAGATATTTAACCCAGGTTCCTGTCGGTGGCTAATGCCCACTGCTGAAAAATCAAAGATGTGTGTGCCTCTTAGAAAATGCACACAGCACAGAGAACTACCCCATTATTCGATAGGACATTATCAGGGTACACTCAGAGGACACTGACAATACAATGTGAAGTTATAAATACCTTGAAATCTGATTATAATTTGGGACAAATATAAAAGAACATTCCAGCACTGGAGATCTACCAAATTATCTGTGGCTTAGTTAATCTGTTGTACTTTACCAGTTCCCTCTGGTTTTCTTCACATACATGCAAGTGAAACTCTTGAAAGCACTTCCAGATATTCTCCACGTCACTGCCCTCCACCTCAGAGATGCTTTCCAGGGAAACCATCTAACAAGTTTCATGGGACAATACTGATAAACATATATAATATAACCTAAGATAATTATGTTCTTGAAAAGTTATATTTAAAAAACACCAATTTCAAAGAGGAAGTCCAACATGTTTTGAGAGTTTTTCCAATTCGTTTTAAATGGGGGAACAGTATTAATAAATATGGTCAAATCATGCGATAGTGTCCTTAGTCAAGCCAAGAGACACAAATTTTGGACTTTGGTTGCCATGCTGAGATGCTCTTGCACTGGTATATAGAGACCATGTAAATAATGTTCCTAGAGCTCTGAAAAAATTTGAAATGACTTTTTCTTTCTGTTTAACTACCATGTTAGCAGGTGGCATGATGGTTAAGGCACTGATGGCCAACCACAGTTCAATTCCTAAATCTCTGGAAGCTTTCCATCTCACTTTTCTTCTCTCCCTCTCTGTGTTTCTCTGGTGAGGACACGTGACCTTTAGCAAATTTTAAAATTATAATAATACTTGAGAGGGTAAATGGTTGTGTTTTTAAAAACAATATAGGTAATCCCCTGATAATAAGTCCACAGTACCAAGACCAGCAGTTAGCATAATGGCTATGTCACTGAACTTCCATGTAGCCAACCACAGTTCGAGTCCCAGACTCGTTGGCTTAAATTTATACTGGGTGTATGTGCATGCGTGCCCAAGATCCTGAGAGGAGAATGGAGGAGAAGGGATTGCAGTTTGGCCATGCCTCCTGCGGGGTGATTTCTCTCTTTCTATCTCTCTGTCTCTCTCGGTCTTTCTTGCGAGTGCATGCACCATGTAGCAAAAACCTCTCAAAAAAATAAAAAATTAAATAAGTCCATAGTACCAAAAAATCAGTATAATAAATATTTTTGTAGGAGTTTGCATTTAATGTTAAATGGTAGAGAAGAACTTGAACCACAGAGCTAGTCATATGGGATCTAGAGCCTTAACCTCCACACTCTTAAAAATAATCCAAATTGACAAAATTCACTCTAGTAGATACAAAAAATCAAAACCAATTACTATAGAAGAAACAATTAGTTAAAAAAAAAAAAAACCCTTTTACCAAAAAAGTATCAGTCCCAGATGGCGCCATAGAGAGTTCTATCAACAATTAAGATAAAATAATCTCAATGTTACTTAATTCCAGGTTCAGAAAAAGGCCCCCCCAAAGAAAAAACTCAAATTAATTTTTATAAATTTAAAAATTATTTAATTTAATTTATTATTATTATTATTATTATTATTAATTTGACCAGAAAGAGACAGAGAGAAAAAGCGAAAGTGAGAAAGAAAGGCACCAGATCTGGGACTCAAACTGTAGTCAGCCATGTGGGGGAGTCCAGTCCCTCAACCACCATGTCACCTGACAGCCCACAAATTAACTTTTTAAGGTGAATGCACTAACATTGACTCAAAAACCTGACACAGATTGTACCCCCCAAAAATTATAAACAAATCTCAAATATAAATGTAAGTTTTAACACTATTTCAAAAAATAATCAAACAGCACATTCAGAAGGTAACAGATTATGCCTCAATTAGGCTTATTATAGAAATGCAAGAATGAGTTACTATTAGGCAATCCATTAATAATCCTATTAATAGAGTTGAAAAATATATGGTTATCTCCATCTTTGCAGAAAAGGCATTTGGTAGAAGTGAGCACTTGTTTTATAAATACTAAGTAGAAAATTAATAAATTAGCTGACTTATTTATTGACATTGGGCCTCTGTACAAAAGCCAACATCTTGTTGAAACAGAAGAGGCTTTCCAACTATAGTCAGGATCAAGACAAACACTCAGCTCCTCAGTTACTTAACATCTTATTGGGAGTTTTAGCCAATAAAGTGAAACAAAACAAAGACAGAATTAAAAAGGAAGAAGTAAATTATTTGCAGGTCCTATATACCTGGGAAACCCAAAGTAATTTGCTAAAAATCTAAACAATGAATGATCTTAGGTTAAAGTAGTAACTAAATAATATACATCCATCAGTAGCCTTCACTAGAAAAAAAAAATAGATCCCATTTAGATGAAGTTCAGAACAGGCAAAGCTTATGTGTGTGTCAGAAATCAGCACCTTCTTTCAGTCACTACCTCTCTTCTCCGAGGTAAGCACTATTATGATTCAAATCACCACTTAGTTTTGTCTGTTTTGAACATTTATGTAGGTGGAACCATGTTGTATGTGTTGTTTTACAAGTGGGTTATTTAGCTCAACAAGGACTAGAAGGGACTACATACAAGGCTCTGTAATGATGCTAATTTTCTGGTTCATGATCTAAGTGCTGTTACATATGTGGCTCACTTTAAAATATTTATCAAGCTGTGCACTAAAGATTTGTGTACTATTTAACTAAAGTTCAATAAAAACATTCACTTAAAAAATGGTAGAGAAAGGACTTGAGTTCTATGAGTCACGTATGTGGCAGAATCATCAACATTTTTTTATTGCACCATGTTCATAAATTTTGTGCCTTCTTCAGTAACTGTTTTTCAGTGAAAAACGGTCTTCTAATGCCCAGAATGAGAAAACAGAGCCATCTCTACAGGAGACTTTCTCTTCACTCAATATTTCTTTCTGTGGTCTTATCAGGTAGAGAATTATCTCCATCTTGTTTAAGAGGAGCTAACCCAACCTCCCCTTAGGCAAAAATCAGGCTATTTCTTTCCTTATTTAGGTCACATATGGTCCTTTTGATCCCAGCCTAAGTGATAAAAGTCAGTTTTCATCAGTTTATCAGATGGCCGCCAAGGAGAGCTTTCTGGTCCATGGAATCATCTGGTTGTTGCTGCAGTTTGGCTGGACATGGGTGGCACTTTACGTATCTGATGATATCCAAGGAGAGCATTTCCTTCAGGATCTAAAGACAGAGATGATAAAAAAAGGTATCTGTGTGGACTTTACAGAAAAGCTCCCTGCCACAACTGGTACTGAAACACTGCTAGATTTCAATCATATGACTAGGATCAGGGTTTCATCTGCAAATGTGTACATAATATATGGAGATAGAGGGAGTGTCTGGAACCTGGTATGGGCAAATAAATTCGATTTAATTTTGGGAAAGGTATGGGTCATGCAAAATCTCCGGTCAGCACACTGGAGGGACATGTTTTTTGTCGTGGATCATATGCCATACCTTTTCCATGGAAGCCTCTTACTTTCAAACCAGAAAAAAAAGATTCCTGGCTTTGAACATTTTCTAAAGACACTCAACCCTTATCAATACCCACAAGATATTTTATTGACTGAACTATGGACTGATGTTTTTCATTGTTCACTTGCTGGATCACTATGTATGAAAGTTGGAGACTGCCCACCAAATTCATCCTTAGAGTTTATACCATTTTATTTGGACATGATGACTGTGTTTGACTCTAACAATTTTATCTATCATGCTGTGTATATGGTGGCCCAAGTCCTTCATAAGATTTTTGTGCAGAAGATAGAAATAAGATCGCCAGAAGGTGAAGATCAGACTATGCTTCTTCCTTGGCAGGTAAACATCCTCCATACTAGGACATGCATTTGGCACCTGATAAGTTTGAAAGTATTTTATTAAGATACAACATCATGACCATATTTTCATTTCAGTATCACAAGTGGGCCAGCCTGTGATTTGGTGGTTAACATTACTGGATACCAAATAGCTGAACTGTTCTGGAGTCAGAACAGTCAAGTTCTGGACTCAGAAGTTTGAAAAGCACACCATGCACATGTCCATTTGTGCCCAAATTGCCCCCCAAAACGGGAAAAATAGAGAACAGACTGTGGTGTTAACATCACTTGTGGGGAGGGTTACTTTCTTTACCCATCTCTGTCCCTCTGTCTTTCTCCAGCAAAGTGTACATGCCCTTTGTAAAAAAAAAAAAAAGGATTAGGTAAAATAAAGAGTTGTGATTTTGTTTTACACACTAGATATAAGTATCTGTATTAGTTATATCTATTTAGAGAATCTGTTATAGGAGACTTAGATTTAAAATATTTAATTATATCAGGAAAAACATTTTCTAATGTGGAATAACGTATTGTAAAATATCTAAGGAAAGAGTCAGGGCAAAGCATAAAAATATGTTTAAAATTGTCAAATCTAGACATGTTTTCTCTTGATGTATCAAATGTCAATACAAATTTACATAATGGCCGTATCTGACTCCAGCTATTTTATCTATAGTGATGCTCTGGCCCTATCCCTGCATATAATCATGAAAAGAACAAAAATGGGTTACACATAATATTCTATAATAACTCTTAGAAAAAATTTTAGACATTACTATACATACAACAAATGGAAGCAAAAATGGTGGTCAAATTTTAAAATATGAAACGTTTTATTATGCATACAGTGTCAGAATATTCTGTCTTATTTACAAAAAATATTGTACTTTAAACTAAATATATTTTAATCAATAATTATGCATAAAATATATTTATGCCCAATGGATACTACAATTGAATGGGAAAAAAGATATTGCTGGGGCTGTCAGGTGGTGTGGTGGTTAGGGGCATTGGACCCCCAAATGGATGACTGCAGTTTAAGTGTTGGCACTGGTGGCTTTCTTCCTCTCTATCTTTCTGTCTCTCTCTCTTTCTCTCTCTCTCTCATTCTGCCTTTGGTCAAATTAAAATAAATAAATAAATGCATGAAGTTAAATAAAATAATTCTAAAAAAAATGACATTGCCTAATCCTGTATATAGTTATTCCAGAAAGATCAAAGAAAAATCAGTAAAACAAAATTAATGGTATGCATCATAATGGGATGTTTATTGCGGAAATTATAAATATGTTTTTAGCTTTGATTTCACTATCACACACCGGAGGTCTGCTTTGATTAAAAAATAATAAAATAGAGGACCAGCAGGAGGAATGTTTGTTAAGGAACTGGACACTCCCACATAGTTGACCACAGTTAAAGTCCCAGACCTGGTGGCTTGTTTTCTCACTTTCTCTCTCTGTCTGTCTCTCTCTGATCAAATAAAAATAAATTAATAAATAAAAAATAAATAAAATAATTATGTTTAAAAGTAATAAAAACAAAAAAGATTCATGACAATAAAATATAAATAATAAATGACCATAGAGAAAATAAGCAGAAAAGGACAAATACAAGAGTCCTAATTAGTGAGTAAAATAAGTAAATATAATAACTATACATAAAATATTAACCCCAGAAATTTTTGTTTACCATCTAATTACTATTTGTGCTAACAATGATAACATCAGATTTGCATTTTGTGCTAATTTGAAGTTGTCGCTTAGAAAAGTACGTAATTTTATAAAAATGGACACCCAGATTTGACTACAGATTACTTAGATTGCTTCTATCTGGAAAAGGAAGAGACTTAACAGTTTTATAAACAATAAGAGTTAGTGATTGTTTCCATAGAATGTTATATCCAAATATAACATTTCTGTATCTTACTTTCTTTTTCTTTTACCTTACTTTCTTATTTTACTGCTTAGCCTATATCCACTACCTTTTTAAAATTCAAGCACTTTAAGTTCATATTCTGTCATAAATCATTTATTTTAATATCTGTCACATGATAAACATGCTCTTCACGAAATGTTAAGAAATTAACAAAAGAATGCATGTTTCCTCTTAAAAATCTTTTGAGGTGTAATTAATGTACAAAATATTGCATATATTTAATGTATATATGCATACATTTGTCTTATCATCAACAATGAACAAGAAAACTAAACATACCCATCAGCATTATGCCTTTTTAAAAATAATAACAAATAAACCTTTTGCTACAAAATAAGAACACTCCCAAATATTATCTAGTTCTAGAGGGGTCAGAAAGGAAGAAAAGTTGGGACCAGCAGTTAGTGTAATGGCTATGTCACTGGACTCCCATGGAGTTGACCGCAATTTGAGTCCTGGACCTGGTGGCTTAAAACTCTCACCGGGCGCGTGTGTGTGCATACCCAAGATCCCGAGAGGAGAATGAAGGAGAAGGGATTGCAGCATGGCCATCCCCCCAGGGGGGTGATTTCTCACTTTCTGTCTCTCTGTCTCTCTCTGTCTGGTGAGCGCACACACCCTATAGCAAAAACCTCTCCAAAATAAATAAATAAATAAATAAATAATAACAACATTGCAAAAATAAATTAAAAAAAAATTTTTTTAAGGGACCAGCAGTTGGTGTAATGGCTATGTTGCTGGAATCCCATGTAGTCGACCATGGTTTGAGTCCTGAATCCAGGGGCTTAAACCCTCGCTGGGTGTGTGTGCGTGCGTGCCCAAGATCCTGAGAGGAGAAGGGATTACAGTGTGGCTATCCCCCTGGGGGGTGATTTCTTGCATTCTGTCTCTCTGTCTCTCTCTGTCTTTCTGGTGAGTACAAGTGCCCTATAGCAAAAACCTCTAGAAAAATATAAATAAATAAATAACAGTATTGCTGCCTCTGCTGCCCTTTCTGGGTTCAACTTCATGACTGTGAAGCTCCTCAGCCAGGGTGCTCCCACTCCAGATCCTAGTACTAGTCAGGACAGAATCCTTGCAGGCATCTCCATCTCTGTCTCTGCTGCCTTTTTCGTTTGGCAGAGCAAGCACGCCGTGCAGTTTTTCATTTATAACTCAACTTTATTTTCTGCAGCATTTTTTCTGGTTTTTTTTTTTTTTTTCTCATCTTTTTGTGCTAGTTCTTTCATTCCTGTTCCTTTGCTTTTTTCCCTATTTCTGTATCCTACTTTCTTTTTCCTTTACCTTACTTTCCTATTTTACTGCTTAGCCCATACCCACTATCTAGAGAAGTCTAGGTGCATAGTAGCTAAATATCTGAATATTGTGAGATTTAGAGAATTATTTGCCTCTCATTGTATAGGTTGTAAAAAGAGTGAAGCTCCTTTTCATAAATCCAATTTCTAAACACCTCCGTGATTACTACACTGGAGGACATAACAAAAGGAAAAAAATAGCACTGAATTATTTCACAGAAAAGGGAAATACATGAGCTCACAGTTACACAATCCTTCTCCAACAAATTAGCCAAAAGTGAATATATTATCCAATGATTAAAAATCAGAGAAGAGCTTCAAGGATGAGAGAATCAAGTAATACATCTCCAGCAAGGGAACACTGTAACTGACTGCTAGTAGGGCAAAGTTAGAGGCTATTAATGAAATGTTAAAAATAATTAGAATATTTATGATAACAAAATTCTGTGAGGTGCAAGAGAAAAGAAACATTGAGCTCCAAGACATGAGGAAGTCCTTCTACAATATGAAAGTATAATTGGACACAATAAAAAATAACCAAACATAAATATTAGATATAAAGGCTGTAATACTGGAAAACAAATCCTCTCTCAAAAGTATTAAAACCAGGTTAGACCAGGCAGAAGATCAAATCTCAGAAGTAAAAGACAATATCAATAATCTAGAAAAACATCGAAAATACTGAGAAAACAACCAAGAAAAATGAGGATAATGTACAAGAAATACTAGATACCAGAAAACATACAAACATACAAATAATTGGTATCCCAGAAAGTGAATAAACTAAGGGCATTGATACTCTATTCCATAAAATACTGAAAGAAAACTTTATAGCTGTAGAGAAGAACTCAAACATTCAGACACAGGAAATAAAAAGAAACTCAAATAGAATAAATCCAAGAAGATCCTCTCCATAAAACATTATACACAAGTTGACCAAAACCACAGACAAAGATACTAAGATTGGCAAGAGAGGCACATAAAGACACCTACGAAGGCTAGCACCAGACTTCTCGTCGGATACAATGCAAGCAAGGAAAGAATGGAGAAATATACTCACAGTGTTAAA